AGCCACTGCTGATTAATTCTTCTGACCCTCCCCATCCACCACCAGCCAAAATAACACAATTAATCTTCCCTCTCAAGCCACAGCGTTTTCCTCCCAACTGGGCCCTCTCCTTTCCCTCTCCCTGTCATGCTGACATATTCTTAAAAGCCCGGGCTTAATTGGATCTATGTAAGGTCATCAGCTGAATTAGTTCCACCACGAGCAATCATCACGGCAGGGAAAAGGTGACGGCGGTGAAATTGCCTTCCTTCCATCCCAAATCATCAAGGTGTTTGAACCAGAGCAGCAGCAGAAGGAAACACGTCTCACCAAACGAAAGCACGGGAAGAGATATTAAAGGGGCAACAGAGACAGGAACCCAGTGAAATGCATTAGTGAGAGCTGGACCGTAAGGAAGGCTGAGTGCTGGAGAATGAATGCTTTTGAGATGTGGAGTAGGAGAATATTCTTTTTTTTTAAATAGGTCATTTTTTTAAAAAAATATTGTATAAAATACAAAAGAAAGAAAGAAAAGAAAATAAGAAATTAAGGAAAGAAAAGGAAATGGGAAAAGGGGGTGTGAAAAATACAAGGGGGAAGAGAAAAAAAAAAAGGAAGAAAATGGAGTATTGACTTCCAACTTTTCCTAACATGGTACAAAATTAACACATTCCATTTCCAACTTCAGCTTTTTGCTTTTGCATATTAAAATAGAAAACTATCCCATTTTTATAACACCAGATCTTTCTGAACAACAAAACCAAGATCAAAGTTTCGGGTTTTTTTTTTTTTTTCTTCACAAGGACAAATTCCAGAAGTGATATCCAAATAAGAACATATTTTCCTCTTTAAATGAAGTATTCCATTTAACCGTTCCTGCTTTATCTTCCTTGCTATGGAAATAGTATGGAGAAGATTCTTGAGAGTCCCTTGGACTGCGAGGAGATCCGATCAGTTGATCCTAAAGGAAATCAACCCTGACCGTCCTTTGGAAGGACAGATCCTGGAGCTGAAGCTCAAATCCTTTGGCTGTCTAATGAGAAGAGAGAATTCCTTGGAGAAGACCCCGACGTTGGGAAAGATGGAGAGGCAAAAAGGAGAAAGAGATGGCAGAGGATAAGATGGTTAGACGGTGTCATTGGCACAGCGAACATGAGTTTGGGCAAATTCCCACAGACAGACAGAGGACAGGGAATTGCGAAGAGCTGGACATAATTTAGCAACTGAACCACAACAAAAAGCTAAGGAGGACAGGATAAGAAGCAACGGATGGAAACTAACCAAGGAGAGACAGCAAGAACTAAGGAGGAATTTCCTGACTGTTAGAACAATTAACCAGTGGAACAGCTTCCCTGCAGAAGCTGTGGATGCTCCACCACGGGAGGTTTTTAATAAGAGATTGGACAGCCATTTGTCTGAGATGTTATAGAGTTTCCTGCTTGAGCAAGGGTTGGACTAGTCGACCTCCAAGGTCCCTTTCATCTCTATTATTCTGTTATTTTGCTTCCTAGAACTATGCCTCTGGGGAAGAAAATGTTCTTTTCTATCTGGCTGTACTTTTCTATCTTGCTGTACCACACTCCTCCCTCAAGGGAAATTAAGATTCTTTAATTTATAGAAACAGAGCCAGAAGGAATGCTTTTAGGCCATTGAGTACAGCATCCTACACAGGGAGGGAGTGCCGATACAAGCATTATGGCCACCTAACTCCTCCTTAACACATCTGAAGAAAGTGGGTCCACCAATTCTCTGGATAGTTGCTTCCACTTTTACTGCGAGGAAGTAAATTTCTAGTTGGATCAGCCTGCTTCTGGTTCCATCTATTATTAAACAATGTCACCCTGTCTGTTGGTCATGGTGCCTACTCTCTGGGAGAATATTGCCCCCAGGGATCTGTATTGTTTCCACCCTGATGAGATACTGTAAACCACTGAAAACATATGTTGTGGCCTGTGGGCCGCTGGCCCCTCCTGTAGGCATGGGAGTCAAGGTCAGCATCAGGGCAACCTGAGAGCTCTGAGGGGGAATGGAACTGGCAGAGAGAGAGAGAGAGAGAGAGAGAGAGAGAGAGAGAGAGA